GTGTGGGTATTATAATGAAATATGTACTAATTGTGATATCTTTAACTGCAGTGTCCCAGCATTTAAGAGGTCACTGCTAGCATTAATGTAAAGTGAATAGCATATTCTCATTCTCTCTATTTTTTATTTCTCTCGATTTTTTTTTTAAATTATTGATTTAGTGTCTGTTTAAGTATCTAAATGTTTTAAAATGAATGTTGAGCACAGTAATAATTGGGCACAGATATGCCTGTTGTATTAATTTTTAAGTGTTTTTTTTGTGCCATAAATAAAAAATAAAAATAAAAAATTGATTGCCACTGCTTCAGGTATTAAATCGGTTTTATTTTGTTGACAGCAATTCACGGTATTGTCAGGGATCATACTTGGCATGTTGGTTGACAAATGTAGCGAGAGAGTGCGTACCACGAGAGACGTGGAAGCTATGATTACAACTAACCAGCTTAAAAGCGAAGATATGAAGAAAACAAAATGATGTTATGGCATTAAAAAAGCCTTTCGCAGGCCACTGAACGACTTGATTTTGTAGCTGTCAAATATTCTGCATTACGTTGCATAACCTATATTTTTTCAGACAAGCATACTCAAGGAGTTCAAAATTTAATACTAAAAGTATATAATGTTTGCGAAAGGGTCGTATAAATACGATATCTTGAGTTTTAAGAAAATTCGACGCAATTTATTTATCCCTGTCTTGCGAGTACGACAAAATCTTCTTTTTAAGAACCTATACTACCTTAGGTCGAATGCAATTTTTTCCGTGCTAATAGGGTTTGCTTAGACTTAGGGTTCAGTTAGTTTGACACTGGCTTTATTTCAGAATTTATTGTGTTGTACTATATTTTTCCAAAGCTATTGATTCACCACTTTCACTGTTATTGGATTGTGTGGAATTGCATAATTTGTTGCCGCCTTCCCCTTTCCATCATCCGGGGACAAGACGTAGGCTGGGGTTCCACTCCTATGTTGTGGATATTACCAGAATTCGCACGACGGCGACGTTTCGCTTCCACATTTGTATGGCGGGCGGCAAGGGATTGGAATTCCCTCCCTGCGGACTTGTTCCCCGAACGCTATAATTTGGAGCTTTTCAAGGCGAGAGTGAATCGGCATTACTTACATCGTAGACTTCATCGTCACTTTCCATCAGGTGAGATGGAGGTCGAATGCGCCACTTATTTTTAAAAAAAAATAAAATAGTATACTTGTTTGTTTTAGTATTTTTTATATTTTTCGTCGACATCATGTTCTATATACATAATATTATGAATTCTTGAGGAACCATGTTTTTACATATACGTGATTTGGGATAGTCAATGTTTTCGAGACCACGAACCCGAAACACAATTGAAATGTATTTAAAATGAAACTATTTTTCCTGATTTAAATCGCGTATATTTGTTTTTTCAAACAAACCGACGTTTCGGGCCCTTTACAGGTCCCATGGTCAACCGTGACCATGATGAAAAATAGTTTCATTTCCTATGTGTAACAATCGCGAAAACCTAAGAACTCGATATGTATTTAAAATTTCATGGTTTAATTCGGTAACGTTGTTAAGCTGTGTGATTGTCACTAAGTAAATAATTATAATACATTAAGCATTGTGAAAGTGCTTAGGCAATGTCTTTGTTTTTAATAATATTAGTTCTTTTCATGTTAATGTACTTTAGTTTATATGTTACGTTGTTGATGTTATTTTGTTGTTTTAAGGATTATGTGTTTGTTTTGTTGTTTTCCCTAAAGTGCTTTGGCAATGTTGTTGTTTGGATAATATTCTTTACCTGGGTTGTAAGACATGGGAAAATTCCGATTCGCTGCAAAACGCGTAGTTGTTCTTCGTAGCTGTTTCTTGTTATTTCTCCAGAAATACAGTACGAGGACAGTTTTCTCGATCCCCGCCCAAAATCTTAACAAAAACTATTCTTAGCCTGCAGTGGCATCTAGCGGCGAAACTGGTAACCACAAAGTCAATGAAAAATCTTCCAATACAACTACTTCTACTTGCAACATGCACTATTTATATTATTTTCTGTGTTTAATACTTTAATTAATTTTAATTAATTGACTTATACAGTCATAAGTATAGTATAACTAATTGTTTTCCTTTATTTAACCTTCCTATACCCGCGCTACATAGTGTAGCACATATACCCGCGCACGGTGAGACCGAAAGTTCGAGGGCCATTTTAGTATGTTGCTTGGTAAAATAACTCATCGTAATATTAAGTTTAATACTAAAAGGAAATGTGTGAAATTGTATGAAGCAAAGTTTTATATATTTTTTTTTTATAAGAGATAAGCAGTCTTATTACAGCCATTCGTAAGAGCCACAAAGACATGTACAAAAATATACTTTTTATAGTATCAAACGAAAAAAAAAACTCTGAAATGTCAAAGAATATTAAATAAAATTTAAAAAACCATAAATTACGTAGCATACAAAAAAATTTTACACATATCTTTCTCAAAAATACTTCTCACTGTCATCGATGGCGCACATTTAGTTCACTTAATTTGACTATATTTGCCTAGATAAAAAATAGACTAGAAACGTCTCACTTTCAGAACTATCTCCTGCTCTGTGCCATTTCTTACTTGCTTCACTTCTAATGATCCTCAAAATCACTATTGTTTTCGCCCTCATAGTTGGAATCAGTGATCCTCTTCCAAAAACCTTCTCATGCGTTCCTCAAACATATTAAGGTTATAGAATATAACCTAAACTAATTTACAAATATAATTTATAATGTAAACTCAATGATAATTAAAAATAAAACATAACTATAGTAATTACTAAAAATACGAATTACCTGAAATTGTGCTTCCTACACCCGCGTAAGTTTAAAGGACCATTCGGTGTCGTATACGTGTACACGTGTTGAAATGAACTGAAATGAAGTTAGCCACGGACCATTGTAGCATAAAACACGGCAATCGCTAATCGTCGCTCTCGAGAGACCAATGCGCGGGAATACGAAGGTAGAAGAGCTTTGTCACAAAATGCGACTACGCCGCTCTATACATAATAATTATATAATAAAGTAGAGAGAGATTTGAAGCAGGTTATAGTTGCCTTAATTTCAAGCCTCTCTCCGCCAATCTATACAGCATCTTGGCTTCTTTTGGTAGAGGAAAGGCCAAGATGCTGTTCCATCCGCAAACTTGTCTAAATTGGTCACACATAGCAGCTACATCAAATTAGACATGTGTCAAACGTGATTGATCGCATCAAAATGATTCAAACAGCACCTGTGATCCGATATCCCGGGTTACAAGCTTCTAAATATCCCGATCATTTTAGAGTTTCATGGGTCATGCGCGCAAATTCGACTTTATCGCTACAATTTTAGAGACAATATTATTGTGGTCTCGTTCACTCTCAAGTGAAGTCCCCATTCACGACACGGACCGCCTTCTCGCTCTTCATTTGGGTCGAACATTTGTTCCATAGAGCATTCGTTCGATAGAATCTTTTTTATTTTTATTTATTTATTTTCATTCGAGCGAACCAAAAAGTCAAGGAATCGATCTACGAGTCAACGGGCTAACGGATCAACAGATCAATGAGTCTATCAATCATTCATCCTAATTGCTCCGTGGCGTAGTATCCATTACACGGTAATTTTGTTGTTAAATCTATTTTTAGGTATGTTGTGATTATTTATGAGTGTACTAGCTAATATTCAAATATTAATGAATAATAAATTAATAATTTTGAATGCTCGATAAGTTTTTTGCTATGTATTTTTGTTTTGTAGGTGTTATTTTTCTAATAAAGAAACGCCCTAAGTGTGGTTTTAAACACATTACTCATCAGCAGGAAAGAATAAAAGCTAATTGTATAATATGGCATTTTAAACGCCATTTTAAAGTATCATGAACGACGATTGACTCTCTAAAAGATCGAACATATGATCGAATCATTTGACCCGGTCACATTACGCATGGGTCATGATCGAGCCGGGTTATCAAAAATGATCGACCGATACAGGTCTACATCAAATCAAACAGAATCGTATATGTATATGTCCTCATTCACGTCACACAGCACAGTTTGGTGACTCTGTTTTCTTCATCATATACGCAAACTTATTGGAATGTGCTCGGAGTGAAGGCGTAATGCTAACACTAAATCATTTCTCTTTAAGCAATTATTGATCCAAGGGGAGTTCAACGATTCGGATTGGAAAGTCTTATACCTAGAACTCTTTCCACATATTATAACAATTTTTTTTTACAACACCCAAAATTTGGGTGTTGTAAAATATTCACTATAAAGCTGGAGACACAGGTGTCACCATCAGTACTTCTCTTTCGCTAGACAATCTACCTTTTCATTATCTACTATGCCACAATGAGACGGAATCCACTGCAAGGCTATAATTTTTGAATGAGCACGCAATTCGAATAATTATTATATTAAGAATAGTATAAGCTATCCGGAATCCTCGAAAATTCGAGGTACACTGAGCCAAATGAAGTAAGACGCTCTTGGAATCTGTAAACAAAGTATAGTTAATATAACTATGTTTAACTATTTTGGCTATTTATTATTGGAATCTGAATGAAGTTCCACTGGCACAACTCACGGTCTCTAGCTGCGTACATAACAATTACGAAGTTAAAATCGGTATTAACGAAAACAACAATGACAATTATGAAACTGCCTACAGCACCATAATTATTACGTACATTTTACAGTTATTACATTTATTTATATTTTTATTTGAAATTTTTAAAGCGTAATAATTGATAGAACTTGTTACACTTAGTTACGAGGTTTCTTTTAATAATATTCTCTAATTATCTACTACTACTACTCTAGTATCTACATACTTTTATTTGGCGTTATGTTAATGATTGTTTTATGGCTAGGATAATGATATTTTAAGAATAATATTTATGTTTATTTAGCCTAAAGTGCTTTGGTAATGATTTTATGGGATGGGTTTTAATAATTCTTTATTAATTTGGTTCCAAGGTTTTCTGTTACAGGCCTACTGGGTCATTCCTGAGGTAGCTGCGCGGTCCAGGTTCGTAACAGTTATGTCGCGCTGCACAAGGGATAATTTTAACAAGATTTTTCTGGCGATATTCAATAATAAGTTGATCAAGTAAAAAGTGCCAACCAACTTAGTCAATTGTTATCGAGTTCTTAGGTTTTCGCGGTTGTTACATATAGGAAAGGAAACTATTTTTCCGTATTTAAATCGCGTATATTTATTTTTTCAAACAAACCAACTGTGACCATGGGACCTGCAAAGAGCTCGAAACGTTGGTTAGTTTAAAAAAACAAATATACCTACGCGATTTAAATCCGGAAAAATAGTTTCATTTCCTTATATTTAAAAAAGTATTTCATTGATAATTGAAATGAATAGACAATCCAATTAGCACTTTTTAATCCACTGATTGTTTTGTTGGAAAGAGGGTACCTCTAAGGGTAGCAAACTTGGGGATGAATGACTTAGTGAACTGAGATTACTTCAATCGACTTACTGTTGAATTATACCGTGTACAACGCGGCATAATTGTTAACTGTCAGTTGCCCCGCATCGCGCATCTACCTCAGGACCCAACTCAGTTAAGCGGTAGGCGTGTAGTCTGAAATATATTTTATTACCTATTATAGATAACTAACATAGTATTTTTGTTTTGTAATGTTAATATTTGTCATATAGCCAGTCATGTCTTTGTTTGAATTATTTAAATACGGAATTTTTAGTTTGTGCTTGCCGATCTCCATTTAATAATATCCAATAAATGTTACGTATTGATAGCTTTGTTTTTTTTTTGTATATTGTAAATATTTTAAAGAACCAAAATACAGAGATGTGCTTGATAAAAATATAACCAAAATAAGTGACTGCTGAAGAAGCAGTAATGTCAGCATTATTGCGTTCCGATTTTGAAAGGTAAGGGTGCTGGTGAAATTACAGGCATATGAGACTTGTCAACTTATATGACGGGCGCAGAGCGGTAGTGCCCCTCAGATCTTTGCGATTTAAAGCTCGTGAGTGGCACTGTAGTGCCAGAGAGACTTGCGTGCATGCGCGGGGCCTTGCCTTTGTTTGGGTTCTCGACACTCTCGAACCGGCTGCTGCTCTGTGATTAGCCAGTAATGCTGTCCTCCGCAAACGTTCCTTGTTGCTTGCGTAGAAATATCAAGCTTGCGAGATATCAAACTCACGAAACGCAAAGAAATCCATCGCAAAGCAAGCGACTCGTGAACAGTCCTACCTGCGCGTACGCGACAGATCTTTCACATGTGCGAAGCGAGTCACGCAAGCAAGCGAAAAATGCAAGTGAACGTGAACCGCGTGTATCTTTATCATCAGGTGCACGACTGGTTCGTCACTTAATATTATAAAAAGAACTAAATTAATTGTATACGAAATAAAAATTACTTTATATGGATTTTGGTTTCGTATCATAAAATCTCTAATGCTTCAGCAATCAAAAGAAAAACCACGTTTCATTTTATGTACAAACATAAAAACGAATGTAGCAAGCACCTATAAAATTCCTACGTTCAAGAGTTATCATAACGAAAAAGCCGGGCGTTGAGTACCTACATCCTAACCTATCCTAACATCGTAACGTGTGAAAGCAATCTCTGAAAAATTTTAACACCGTTTGCCATATCGTGCATTCCAATCGAGTATATAACCAGAAATAGAGACGAAATGTCATTTAATTTGTGTGAAAACTATTCTGCCATATAACTACTGTGACAACTGCGCTCCGATTGTCGTTAATTGTTTCACTTCAAAACGACCAGTCTAACTTGAGCTTTACTATAATGGACGTTAATTGGTAAATTACATAGATTATTTAATATTTAATTACCAATGAAATATGATTCTGTTTGTTTTGTAATTAGATGTTTTGCTGTTTTTCCCACACCACCGAATAGAACAGCTCGCCATTGATAGAGATATTATCTTTATTACAATAAATACACAATCTGTTTGGAATATACGGTGGCGTACGTAGGTCAGTTGTTGATGCTGTACCATTTCAGTTTTCTAATTTGTGATTTTAGCGCAAACGAGAGTTGACATTTAAAAGTGATATAAGTCCCATTTACCTGATGAGTTGCCAGGGATGGATGGCCCTTATTATTTTTCGATGTGCTATTCTCACTAAGGGTGATCGAGGCCTGACGAGCGTAGGTAGGCGTCACGTAAGTTATGTGATTTGGGAGCCCTTGGGAGCGCTTGTCCATCTGTACTGTACTGTATTGGGTTAAAATCGATTTGCTAGTAACTATTTATAGTGTGTGTGTGTGTGTGTGTGTGTGTGCGTGTGCGTGTGCGTGTGCGTGTGCGTGTGCGTGTGCGTGTG